CCCCCCCCCCCCCCCCCCCCCCAAACCAAAAGAAAACAAAAACAGAAAAAAAAAAGACTAGATATAAGAGTCCACAGCCAAACAATTCCTCCATAAACAATTCAAGTGAGGGAGATGTCTCTGTACAGCCATCCACAAAGGTAAATTATGTATAACTATTTGATAGTGTGGGAACGGCTGCATACCAATTCAAGTGCCTCCATAAACAAGGAAGAAAAACTGGTCAATGCCTGAAAGACTCCAGGAAGGCCTGTCTGAAGATTATTCAGTGTCATTGCTCGTGTCACCTCCACCGCCTTCGCATGCCTCAGCATCTCATCTTCCATGCGCCTTTGACAAGATACAAGCTCTGATTTCTTTTCAGCCAGTGGATCACGAGCATCCAATACCTGTCCATTATTGGATCCACCAGTATCAGGGAGTCCAATACCAACCATGGAGTATGAGTTGTAGAACTTCCTTTCTATGCTACGAAGAGAAGAAGCCTTCTTTTCCAGCTCCTTCGAAGCAGTATCAGTTCGCTTTTTAATCTTGAGCTCTTCTGCTTGTTTCATAGATATCACATGAACAACATTGATAAAGCTCTTGATGGCTTCGGAAGCAACCGTGTCAGGGACACGGTCAATGGCAAGCTTCCACTCATCAAAGAAGGCATATACATCAGAGGGTTCCATGTTGGCGTTCATGTTGTCACTGCTTACAGGAATAAGGGTGAGCTTGAACCAGCCATGGATGGATTGAATAAAGTCCCGTTGGAACTTTATCAGGTGGCAGAAACTGGAGTGCCAAGCAGAAACAGCTGATTCAAGGTCACGTGTAGCCTGCTTGTGCAATTCAGAAGTTGAGTCACCCTTGGCTGATTGGTTCATAAGACCACGAACTTGCTGCACAATGTGATGCTGAACTTCATGGTACTGGTGCATTGACCTCCACATGCACATGAACCTGCATTCAAATCAGATGCATAAAATATATGGTCTACATCGATGTCATTTTAGCAGCCCATAATTTCATCATTCAAATACAAAGACAACAAGCTGCCATAGAGACATGGTGCAAACTATGTTACTCAATTATAACTGATTAGATTATGATTGTCGAGTCACTGCTGGGTTCGCACCATTGGTACAGCAATTAATGCTTTTCCCACCTCTAGGTTAAGAGCTGAATATAGTAGTGGGACCATAATTCAGCGGTTTTCGTCTTCAATACTGTCAAAAGAACTGCATTTTCAAAATCCTTTCCTCTATAGATAATGGCAGTACCAGAAACTAGCATAGCCCAACTGGAGGCAATTGATAGTTGATCATAAAGCCTTGTAAGGTAGCTGGAAGCTACAAATATGTAAAATGAACCAACAGATGTAAATATGGAACGCAATCTACAGTAGCCTTCTCCAGGACTATTTATCAAAAGGTAATATATTGCAAACACGATAAACATGGTTGAGAGCAATCAAAGCCCTGATAATGCTATGACATGTGTCCAAAGAGCAGCCTAGTAATTAATAGTTTCTGGACAGTTAATGAAATCAAAATTACCAACCTAGCAGTAAAATGCTTGCTGACTTGGTTTACCATGTTAAGAAACGAGGCTAACAATCCAGTAATCTACAATGGTCAGTCATATCATACTTCAAGTCCATTGCACCTAACTCTCCACCCATCAATTACCTTTAATCTGAAAAGGTCCCCCCAATCAGATGAAACAAAATCATCAGGAGGTGCAGGGTTGGGAAACTGCCTGATTTTGAGAGGTAGTTTGACAATAGATAGTCAAGGAAACTGGACAGCAATGCACATGTGGATACAGACTGGATGTAGCAACTGGCATTTCAATGCTTCACCCACCAAGGCAAGTGCAAAGGTCTCATCTCATGAGGGGATATGAGATTATGAAAGTCAGGATTTGCAAGGATATGAACTTATGAAAGTCAGGATTTAATTCAGTCAGCAATATGAACCCAGAACAAAAGCAAAAAGGCACTCTCCGGTTGGAAAAACACAGGTGGAAGAAGCCTCTTTTAGGAATGTACTAGTGGCTTTACTAGAAATGGTTCTTGATTATATCAGTAGTTTACGAACTTGACCAAGGCAACAGGAATAAGAAACTGCATTGTATTAAGGTTAAAAGTTAAGTGGCCTCACAAACACCAGAATTTGTTTATGCAACTAGATCTCGTATTTTATGTATAAAAATAACTTTCTTATAAGAGCTAAAAAAATGAAATGGCATACCCACGACAGAGTTCAACCAGCTGAGGAACAAGATCACTGTCTCTAAGACCAATGATTGCAGTTGAGGTGGTAGAAACAGCTTGAGATGTGACAATAATCAGAGATTGCAGTCTTGATATTGCAGCTTTGGTCTTGTCTAGCTTTGCTTCATCCCCCTTGTATTCCTGACTTTGTAGTGTTGACAGCTTCTTATCGTGCTCAATCTTAGCACCTTCTCTAGCCTAAAAAGGCACATTAACAATTTGTTCCATGCATTAGCACTCATCAACACACATTCCAAACACAGCTGGAGGCTAAAATTCAGATGCAATTATGCAACAAAAAAATAAAAGGCATCAACTTGATGGGGAAAAGGTGCCCTGGTTAGCTAGACCGACCACAAACGTGTTCCTAGAGAAAAACACAAGCAGTCCTGGTCTTTCTGACAGCTTTCAAGAGCATCCTAGTCATTGTAAATGAAAGCAATAGACAGATAATTTGCATTAAAAGATAATTCAAGGATAGTGGCAAGCCATCCTAACAAAGAATTGTTAACATCAGCTGGGATTTAACCTGATTGGCACTTTTAGACAGTCCTTGCACCTACTACATGCAAACTTCAACACAAGGGGCTCTCACCCGCTGGTTTATACACGAATAGCATCAACACTCACTAATCCGGGAAATGCCCTAACCAGAAATGATGATGATGATACATCATACACGTCACAGTAAAGGCAGGAAGGACCCATCACATAATTAATAAGATTGGACGGGGGCATTCTCGTCAAAAAAGAGTCCCCATGGTAAACTACTAACAACAAAGGGCCAGAAAACCGCGGTAGACTTACGCTAGCCTCACTAGTGCATATTTTAATACCCCTTAAAACATCAATTAATTACACATGGTAAACCAAGATACGGGAGGGAAGAGAAACGAAATCCAAAAATGGTAAAAGAAGTGATGCTAATTTTACAAAAACTCAAAAAAATAAAAAAATCACAACCGTTCAATTAATTTGTGGGAACTAGTCTACCTTATTCGATGAAGGAGGTTTTTTGGGGGGCAAATGAATTGGGTAAAAAACTAGGCTAGTATTATGATATCATAGTACAATTTTTGCAAAGCATACCTTAACTTCCTCATAGAGTTTCTTCTCCCAAGCCAACAACCGTTCCATTGTAGAACAAAGACTCGTTGGGCCACCAGTTTGATTCAGTGAACCGGTATCGAGGCGATACTTAACGGCCAAAGGCGGTTTCGAAGTCCAACTGGAGCTCAAGTTACTCAAAACACTACTAGAATGATACAATGTTTCTGCAACAAGTGATAAATTAATCAAAATTAAACAATAAATAAAGCCTCGCCTCAAAAAGAAAAGGGATTTTACTCACTCTTCAGTTGCCGGAAATTTCTATCGAGCTCAAGCATCTCCGAAACCGGATCTCCAGCTGTGGCCGCCTTATCAAAATTCTCCTTAAGGGCATCAACAATCTCTTTCAAATCCTTATGTCTCACCATTTTCATATTAGATGTCTCTCCAGTCCTATAACTGGTCGTCGACGATCCCGCCTCAGACTTATTATCTGACTTACCAAAACCATTATCAGATTGTTGTGGTTGCGGTTGCGGTTGCTGCTTCGATCCGAAATTAGACCGGGTTTCCATCTCGGATTTGAACTCTGTATCATTATCTTCTTCATCTGATGATGTTGTTGTCTTGCTATAATTATCGTGATCTCCCCATTCACTGCATTGAACTTCCTCTTGCTCCGTCTCGCTATAAATTTGTTGTTGCTGCGGATATTGCTTTTTCTTAAAGAAATCATACTCCGACAATCTCTCCGTTTCGGTTTCTGTTGCGACACCCTCTTCTTCATCTGATGACGACCCATCATCAGTATCTAAATGGTGTTGGTGCTGATTGTAGTGGTTTTGGTTGGCTTTTCGAGCGAAGAATTCTGAGTCTGGAGGCGAAGGAGGGTAGAAATTTTCCCAATTCCATACAGAAGAAGCTTGAGAAGGCGTGGTAGAATAAGTTGAACGATTTTGAAAAGCAGTTGGATATTCAAAATTCGATCTCGGAGAAACTGAAGGGCTTGTTTCTGAAAGAATATGAGGAAGCTTCGGAGGCTTGCTGCGGCGGTGGCGATTAGACTTAGACTTGATACTTGAAGGAGAAAGAATATGAGGAAGTTTAGCGCTAGCTATCGTAGGAGAAGGAGAAAATGGAGGAGGAGGTGGTGGCGGCGAGTGGAGGGAAGGTGAAGGGGAAGGATGGACACGTGGAGGGATGAGATTGGTGGGAGGAGGTGGGGTGGATGTTGTGGCAGGGTGGAGGAAGACAGCGGGGGTTTGTTCGGAGACAGAGAGGGATTCACCGGCGGCGAAAGCGCAGAGAGCTGAGCCTGTGACTCGGAGTGAATGACAGTAATCTGCGTGTGCAGCGGCTAGGTGGTAGCGGGCGTAGACTGCCTCTTGCATTAGGCGGCGCCTCTCCTTGCACCGCCGTACCGTGTCCTCGTTGTCTAGCTTGGAGGCCGTGCAACCCATTCCTAAAGAACAAAGGGAAATGGAATGTAAAGAATAAAAAGTGTGAAGTTGACACAGGTATGTAGAGAATACCGCTTAAGCAGGTGGTGGCGCCTGAATTCAGAGAGAGAGAGAGAGAGAGAGTGGAATGCTGGAGAGGGAGCTTATAGCAGGCGCTCGATGAGTTAGTCAAGCAATGTTGTTTTCTTTTGAAAAATATTTTATTTTTTAAAATTATTTTAATATACTAATATTACAAATAATTTTTAAAAAATAAAAAATATTATTTTAATATTTTTTAAATAAAAACATTTTAAAAAATAACTCTTAACCATATTTTATTTTTTCTGTTTTTATCTTTTAAATTTATAATATTATACAACAACACTCTTAACCATATTTTATTTTTTCTATTTTTATCTTTTAAATTTATAATATTATATATATATATATACAAAATATATATTTTAAAAAAATTAAAAAAATTATTTACAAAAAAATATATTTTAAAAAAATTAAAAATATTATTTTAATATAAAAATATTTTAAAAAACATCTCAACCAATGTTTTAATAAACGGCCGACCAAAACCATGATTATATTTCTTTTTTAACCTGTAACAGCAAAAAAAAAAAAAAAAATTACAAAGTGGAAAAATCCAACAAAAAGATTACCTGTAACAGCAAAAAATAAAAAATAAAAAAATTTACAAAGTGGAAAAATCCAACAAAAAGATTTGCACAGGCAACGCCACTACAGACAGCACGTACATATTTCTTCGCAAGCAATCACTACGGACAGCATGCAGAATAAAGTAAACATGGCACCCTCTTCTTCTTCTTCTTCTTCTCAGCGTTACCCTTGCATATTCGAGCTCAAATAAATCCCACTAAATATATTAACTCAAAAGGTAAAAACTGATTAAAATCTAATAAAAAAATATAATCTTGACTTGTCAAGAACTCGAAATTGGTTGGAGAATGCTATGCCCATCAAAATGAATTTAAATTATGACCTGAATAGTTTTTATAATACAATTGTTTAAGAGCAAATGCTAGCATGGAAAGGCAGAGATGCATAGATATTCCGCAATAAGTGGATCCTTTGGGAGAGCACTGTGTGAGTGATTGAAAACGGTGAAAGGGTTGTCTTTTTTATTTACTTTAACTTTATCCCCTCTTCGACCTTTCCATTCCATGGTCTCATTAGTCATGGAGTCAGGTTTTTTCTTTTTTTTGGGGTTAAAAATTGTTTTTCTTTTTGTTTTTTATATTAAAAATAAATTTTAAAAAATAAAAAATTTTATTTTAATATATTTAAAAAACAAGACTACCAAAATCTACTCATGACTTCACTGGGCCCGTCTTTTGTTATTGTTATCTTTTCAAAGGAAAGTTTTGCTTTGAACTTTCATCCTGGGACCTCATCTGTATAGTGTATACAGTGTCTTGCACTTGCCTAGGGTTGCAGGCACTCCATAGATGAATTGACGATGGGAAAGGTTTTCTTTCACAGCATCTTGCCTTCGTATTTTGGGCCTTTTCCAATCCTTTCAGACCCCAATCTGCTTGGGAATTTTGGTCAGCATCCGATTCTTCATGAGATCAGATCTTTCTTTCAAGATATTCCTTGTCTTTATTTTCTTTGGGCAGCTTCTGACCAAGGGTTTTTCCACTTCTTTTTTCTTAACTGAGATCGGCGGAGATAGCGGCCAAACTGCCCGGTCCTTTCTTGTCTTCTATCTGTCATCGAATCCGAACTAGAATGGTAGTCTGGGAAATTACATACCGTGACTGAGCTTTGTAGCTGTGGAAAGCTTGCTCTTTTCATTGCGATTGAAATGCTAACAGTTGGAATACCGATTGGTACTGTTCTTCCCCTGAAAATAATGCCCTGTGGGACGACCAAGTTCAGGGGCTTTTTTATTTATCGTTTTTTAAACCTTAAAAACAGTCCACAGTGAGCGCAAACTTGCTGCATTAACTGTAAACAGGGAGGCGTAAAGGCTGCAACAAATGAATAATTTTCCTTCAATTTAGATGATTAACAGCGTCCACGAGAACTACAAAACGTGGAAAGCAGGCAGATCCATGGCGAGCAGCAATCCAAAGAAAATGATGAGCAGTACTACTGTTTTCATTTAAAAAGCAAACCAAGGTGGGCCATTTTTCCAGACCCGACTCAAGCAGGGTACACACTTATTTATGTGGGACCAACTGCAAGCAAGATGCATCAAGATGATGAACAGGGGCTTCAATCAGTAATCCAGAAGGATAGACACAAACTTGCCACCTCACTTTCCTCCCTCGGGAGAGCCTTGATGTGTTTTTTTGGCTAAAAGGCAATCTATGTGATAAATCGTACTTTGCCAGACTGTCTATTTTTAGTTGATCTTCGTTTTCTTTACCACGCTCAATTGATTTTTTATTTTATTTTATTTTTAAAAAAGAAAGAGCTAATAGTTTCTTCAGGCTTTCCCACTGGGTCCAACGGGGAACTCGATGAGCGTTGAGCTACGCATCGAAGATAGCCTTCTACAAAGTTTTGAGCTCAAGGATCCCAAGTTTTAGAATCCCAAGCTTTGGGTCGGATGTTTGAATTGGAATCAATGGTATAAAATTTGCTTGTAATATGATAAATCCTTCTCCGACCACGTGTGATTTTATCTTAAATGCCTACATCCTCTGTCCCCAGAACAGGAAACCCAACACCAAGCAAACTCCCCATGAAGAAGACACCTCTTAACTTCATATACCATCTCTTAACTCAAACCCACTAAGATTCTCCATCGCCCATTCCTTTTCTCAAAGATGATGCAGCAGCTAGAATCTTAATCGTCCACGAAGAAAGGCAAGCAAAAGGATGAGGGAAAAGAAGAGAAAAAGTAGGGGGAAAATACATTTAAAAGCAACCAATTACCATTCGCAAGAGGGCATACATTTTCCACAAGTAAGGTGAGCCCCCCCCCACCACAATTTCTTTTGCCAAACAGCTAGCACAGGTAAAGAAGGATATGTCTTGTGGAATCACAAGAAGTCATCGAAATTACCTTAAGAGACTTTTTAGCTCAACACTTATTACTGGCTTGAGAAGCCCTTTCAAGGTTTTTGCCTGAGAAATCCAACGTGGTTGACTGGCACGTGTCAGTTACACGTGCTTCTCTGATACAACTTGTTCGACCGAAGTTGGAATGGTAGCAGCATGGTTCGGCGTAGCCTCGAGTGTTTCATGGCAATGCTACCGCTGAGGAAGGGTTGGTCACGTGCGGCCGGTTATTGGTAAGACCAAGATTCCCAAACAACCCCGCAGCATCATTAAATGGAAACCATGACTGTGAATATCAAGGTTAATCCTTCCAGCGAATCAAGTAGAAAACATGGCATCCATCAGCAAAAGTAACGGGAGCTTGATATGCTCATCCAGGCGTATTCAAGTGATAGTAAAATAAGAGAAGAGATAACTGGATTGGTATGACTATATTTTCCCACTTGTTTGCTCTTGTGCTGAACTTTTTCATGTTCAAAACCACCGAAGTTTTGTGCAGGGGCATGTGTTCAATTTTCCAAAAATAAAATACTTCTTCGTATTCAAAGAACTTCACATGAAAAAGAAACAGGTTTCAAAATTGCTCGAGGGATTTAGCAATATCCCTCGTTTGCGATGCTGAGGAATATTCTTAACTTGTACTGCTCACAGTAGAAAAACACTGCTGTTGAAAATGTTTTTGAAGCCCAGCTGGCTGCAGCACGGGTCGAATCTGGATCCAAATATATGAAAATGCGAAGGACGTATCAAAATCCATAAGAAAGTGATTTCGAAAACTGAATATGAGGAGAAACTTTTCTTAGGTAAAAGGCTATTTGATGAAGTAAAATTGCGATGTTTCTAGAACATCATGCAGAACAATGAACATAATCAGTCGAAAGGCCACAGCAAAATGCTTTGAGAAGTAGAATGAACCTCAAAAGCTACATAGCCTACAGATATGAATCATGAAAATAACACCCTTGACAAGTTGAGCTGCATGGAATAGCTAAAATAATTATATGTTCGGTATTGTGTCGGTCCTGTGTTTTGTTCCAACCATAATAAATAGTTGTTTAGTAAAAATTTTAAATGTAGATTTTAATAATAAGTTACATCATTGGTTTGGATGAATTAAAAAATTATTATTTTTTACTTTTAATTATTGCGTGTTACCATACATATAAAGTGAATTAAAGTTAGCAGGGCGGAGTGAATTAATTTGTTATTTTATTGTTTATTTAACCATGACTTGAAAACAAAATTTAATTTTTTTAATTATATTTTATTTAAAAAATTAGTATTTAATATTATTCAATAATATTATATAAATTAAAAGAAAATCGTATGATGATATAATATTTACAGAATTTGATCACAGTTTCAATTTTATTTCTAATGATAATCTACCTGATTTTGTTACATGCTTAAAAAAACATAAAAACTGTAATCTTAACTGAATAAATTTCATATATGATGAAATTATAAATAAGTCAATGAAACAATAAAAAATATCTTATATAAAATATTATTTATTTAATAATATAAAAATAATAATTAAATCTATAATATTTAAATTAAAAACTATTAATATTAATATTGATATATATCTTTTTTAGTTATTTTATAATCTTAATTTAAAAAGTATGTTTAGCCAAATACACTAAACTATTTTTTATTCAACCTTAATTTTAATTATAATTTTAACTAAATATATATAAATATCAAATTAATTTTAACCATAAATATTTTTTATAAAATAACTTTTTAAAATCATAACTATAAATACTACTGAAATATCAAACACACTTTAGCCATAATAGGTGATCAACAAAGCTCAAACGGAAACAAGTAAGCTGATGGAATTTGACTTGTTTAATGAAAAAGGGATTTGGGACTGCACATATATAGAAAAACAAGCTATTGCTAACAGAAGCCACCAGAGCAAAAAGCTTCGTAGCCCTAATAAACATAATAATCCCATCATTTTAAGTAAATACCAATAAGCCTATGGAAGCGAGCCATAAAATCTGCTTCTTTGTATCACACTCCATCAATATTCAATTCACACAATAATCTGAAAGAGAAGCTTCCGAAGAGCAGCCAAACGAGCAAAATAGCCTTAAAGTAGTAGTGTCTTGTATGCTGTACAC